GGAAGACTTCTCCGGTTGACAGGCATTGCCATAGCAACCCATTTTGACCCCCCCATATTCAAAAAGTGCCCCCCTCGTACTTGACTTGTCAGTTTGGGGCACCTCCTTCAGTGAAGCAGCTCTATTGTTGTCATATGGTGATATTTCACAGCACAGGGTTAACCAAAGGAGAACCAAAATAGTTCATCACCTCCACCTCCCAGACACTACCCAGTGACTCCATCATGTCCCCTCCTAACTTTATCTATCCCGTGGCTTCCTCTCCTTTTGTGTGTCTGTGTGTGTGTGTCTTACATGAATGTGTGTGTGTACACAGTCCAGGTCTTTGGCTAGCCAAAGGCATGAAGGGAGAATAAGAGCTCTTTCTGTTCCTGTAGCTCTGGAAGTGTTTCAGAGTCATTACTCTACGCCACATAGGCAACCACTGACAGCACAAGTCCTGCTGACTTTTCTCCCATGATCGCACACAATAGCGATTCTTTATTGGATGTGAAGATAAAAATGAAACGACAAGAGACTGAAATATGTTTTGCCCTTTTAAAGGCAAATTAGAAGGTGATCAGTCAAACAGGAACAAACACATTCTTAAATCCCGCTGTCTTTCACACCCACACACACACATAAACACACAGTTCTTGCCCAAATGAAACCAGGATTTCCAGTTTGCTCACAGTTCTTGCCAAAAAAAGACAAACGGTGTAAAACCTGAAATCCAATGTGCTGACAGGCTTGCTTTGGCACATATTATGCAGCAGGAAGACTGATTTACAATGTCCGTGTTGCAGGTGAGTGATCCGATCACCTGCTGACAGATGCAATCCCTCCTTTTACATCCATGTTTTATTCCAGCAATAAACTGAAAACCAGCAGGACAAAGAAGGAAATTTATCAGGGCCTACCCAACGGTCTGTCCATTTGTTTAAAAGTGTATGTTTTTGTGCATGTGCTCGCCAGTTTCAACTTGAAATCGAAGCACTCAGCTCTTTCAATAATTCAGCGGTCTGGCTTGGTACACCAAAGCTCGGTGCAGATATCCACTTACTGAGCTCGTACGCTTCACAGGGTTGTTTTCGCCAACCAGTTGAGCTGCTGAACCTAAACGGACAGTGCAGGGCGATCTAGAGGAGCCTTCCTTCATAATCTGTGTCCTGCTGGCACAGACTTTAACCCTGCTGTGACCAAATCTGGTACTTTGTCACTCTGCCCCTAAATGAGGTAATCACGCAAGAGGCAATAGCAGGTTTGGCGCGGTGGTGCTCAGCACGTCTCTGAGTTAAAATCCTTGCTCAGTTTGTCTTACTCTCTTATTGCCAAGCAAACATGAAGGTTTACTCATTGTCAGCTCCATGTTTTTGTTTTTGTTTTTTTGTTTTATTTTATTTTTACTAACCAGATAATCACCATAGGAAGGAACACAGATGATCTTGTACTTCAGCCCTTCGTTGTTACAGATGGATTCAAGCAGACCTTTACCACACAAGCTAATTAAAACAATGACAGCTAAAGATCTCAGGAGGTTAATCATCTAAAAACTTTAAAATACTTGGTGGCTGCGGCCCAAGCCTTTTTTTTTAAGCATCAACTTCTCTGTCCTCTGAGGAGACAGGAGACAGCAGATACTGTTGTAATCAAATGAAAGATGCTTAGAAAAACATTGCCACCATGATAGACAACTGATAAGGGACGACGGCCATACAACAGGTTATGCGCTGAGGTAGCCCATGTGGAATGTCACTGAGAACAAACAAAAATGCAGTTTATTTTAGCAGTAAACAACATTTTTTTCTGAGCTGTACATGTCCCAGGACTCTGGATCACACTCTAAAAATGTCTTGTATAGAAATAAATCCTTGCAGGTTTTAATGCCTGTTTCCAAAAGAGTGATAGAGTGCACTTCAAGCATGAAAACACTGAAACATCCACACATGTAAAGCCACAATAGGAGTCGGTGTGTGGATAAAGGTCAGATGATAACCATCTTTTGAACCACAGACAGCTGCTTAAGGTCACTTAAACACATTGTGAAAATAAACCCACAGCAGTAACAGACCAGTGAAAAAAATAATGCCTTATGTTGTTTGTCAGTGCCAGTGATAAACTGAGTAGTGACGAGAAGAAGCAGATATCACATCTGTGCTAGAGTCTCAAATGAAAATTGAAGTCAAAACTGACAGAGGCTGAAAAAAAACTTAAGTCTTCTTTCTGAGCGCTTAAATCCTTGTAGCTCTAACCTTTGCGCTCGTCACTGTGAGACGCCAAGGCACAAGTTGTACAGTACTTACAGGCTGTAGAGTGCAGGCTGAGCGGTGAAGTCTCTGCAGCACACAAGGAGAGAGAGGAAGTGAATGAAAAAGAAGGAGGGCACTACTGCTGCTGCTCTTTCTCTCAAACTCTCCCTCCCTCTTTCTCTTTGTAAAGCCAACAGGGTGTCTTTTATCTTCTGTGAATGATTCAGCCCGAGTCTGAATGTTTGACTGGGTGTCCATAGGCGTGCGCATGTAATATGTGTGTGTGTGCATGTTTCTTGTGTTTGTGTGAGCATGCTCTTTAACGCTCATCAGGGGAAAAGGGGCTTGGTAATAGTTTCCATCCACAGCTGGAAATAATAGAAATTCCCATACAGGCGCAGCAGAACCACCTTCCGGTGTTTGACAGCACATGCCAAGAAAGAGAATTTCTATAGCAATTTCAATAATAGGCCTTAGTGTTATAATGGCGTTGGTCTATTCACTGTCTTAAGCCTTTAGTGTGTGTCACATTCATATCAATCTAAAAAAGGGAAAAAGGACAGGCTTTAGCACTTTCTATGACATCCAGATAGCAGATAGGATCCAGGAAAGTGTATTTCTTTTTTTCTTTCACATGAACTCATACCCGCTAACAACCCCAAATATGCAAACACTTGCCCCAGACTAGGACACAAAGACTAATCCCAAAATAAGTGTCAGTTTTTCCATCCTCGGTATCAGGCTCTATGCAGCCACCCAGTATGAGAAAACCTTTGTATTCAAGCTGTATTCTTGTAAAATCCACAGTGTAATCATGAAGACTGGCTGCATTTCTGGACAAATGTTAAGCTTCTGTTAAGTTATTGAGGGTTTTATCTGTTAGATTCTTTCACCCTGAGTCCAGAAGCAGCCCTGCCGTCCAAGATAAATATTTAACAGTCTGGCTGTGAGACCAGGAATCAAAGGTCGCACCTCTGTGAGTCTGCCCTTGTGTTAGAGAAAAAAGACAAGCATGTTACCAAATAGCTGCACAGGGACCATTAATTATTCTTCTTGAACCAAGTTTTCAGGTTATTATTCAAAGAGGAAAAACTCATTTTTGATTAATAAAGTTCATCTCTGGAGCAGCAGACACACAAAGTACAAGTTTGCAAGCTATTTTTTCCATCAGTGGTCAAATGATGTATGCCCTCTTCTCTGTTGGATCCTCTTTGCAGTCCAAAAAGCAACACCCCGAAATTTCACTCTGACAGACTTTGCATTGGAAAGCACCTTAACATGAAAGATAGTACCACACTGTCCCTCTGTGGCTCTGAGGGGAACTGTTGGGTCTATTACAGGATTCGTCGTATGACATCAGGTTGCACAGACAGATGTCGCCAGAGACAAGGAGCTGTAGTAATTTAGGCAGTCCTATGTATTCCCTCCAATTTAAACACCTGCAAACTTCCACTTCAAATAGGCAGGTTAAATATTTAATAATAAAAATGTTGTTTCATCATAACATGTATTTTCCTCCAGTTATAAAAGATGCTGTGACATATAAATTTACTTGCAAATCTTATATATTGATATGTATTTGTTTCATTGACTAGTTAGACACCTTTAATATGTCGAATATTGTGATCCATGATGCATTGTTATTTCCCAGCTAGAGTTTGTTTAATGTTTTTTACTTACTCAGTTTTTAGCATTTACACAGATGAAGTGTATAACATTTAAGTCTTTT